TTTCCCCAAAGATTATTACAGTAAAAAACCCTATGACATCAATTTTGTTTACTGAATTGAGTTGAATTCATTGAATAAAATAATTAAATCTACATCTATCAGGGGTTCCCAAACTGTGTGCAATGTGTCGCATAAAAACATTGCAAACCTCCAAGGGTACAGTAGTCATAGGTCAAAGGCCACATTAAAAAAAGTTTGGGAAGCCCTTATCCAGTTTAAAACAAAACGAATAGTTTTTTTTTAGGATTATGAGTGTTATTTAGATATTTATGCGTTTTTTTTAATATTAGACTTGTACAAAACAATACAAATAGACCCGTTAACCCCTCCATGCTCGTGTTAGGGAGTACACCACAATAATCCCACGGACAAGGAGCAAGCCCCGACTGACCCTCGATTGAGGGCAGTCCGAAACTGACTGTAGCTATTGTAGCCTCAATTATATTGGTAACTAGTGTTAATCAACTCAATTGTAACAGCTAATACAAGTTAGTAGTACCTATCTCTTCCCTACTAGACCTATGATTCTTTAAGGGCCCCTTTCTTACGGCAAACAGTTTTGCAGGATTCTGCACTAGATCCCGCAAAACTGAATTTGTGTGTTCACATGCCAGTGACCCGTTTTTTGTGGGACGAGTGATTGCAAAAAATTTACGCATGAAGATGACGCTGGTGGGAAGACTTCTATTAAACAATACTTTATATTAAACTAGATCCTATTTTTTGCTGGTCCAGTTTAATGACAAAACTAAATCCCGAATTCCAGCGGATCGGCTTTTTTGAGAGACTGCAAACGGTAATATGAAAAACACGTATACTACTTAACGTTACTTTGCAAAAATGGGGTAAGTCCGTGAAATGCTCTAGGTTTAATACTAAGTTCCAGTATCCAGTTTAATACTAAGTTATGCGCTAATTTCAATCAAATTCCCAGACTAAAGATAAGCTTAAGATTAATTATTGAACGATAAACCGATCAATACGACACCATGTTTTCGATACATTTAACACACGTTGAAACGTCATCATGACTCACGTAACCGAGTTATTATTGTTGGTTTAATATTACCTTCTCGAGAAGTTGTGAGACTCACTTCTGCCCGTGGCTTTGCTTGTTATAGTTACAAATTAATATGCAAAAGCTGCACTGTGTGTATTTCTGTTTGTCTCAGAAAATCTTTAATATTCATTACCAATGCTAGATTTTTTATGTTATTATGTTTGTAATAAAAAAATAATAGATTTCCCAAACACACAGTCATTATTTCACCTAATTAAAGAAAGAAAGAAAAATTTTTTAGATATTCAAGTTTATTTGTTTATCTATGTAAAATCTTTATTGCACACAAAAAATTCCAAAAGGCGATATTAATGCCGTGTGGTACTCTCTACCAGTTAACTTTTAGGCCAAACAGAGTTTGAGAAGGCGGTGCATAATAATAACAATACTTCATAAAAAATATTAATGCAATAAGTTTCAATTCAAAACCAAAACAACTGTACAATATTCCTACTATTCCACTCCACAATCTCCTTATCTCAATAAAATTGTTTTTTAACCTTACGCCGAAGTATTAAAGTTCAAATCGTTTATTTTTAATGGTCAGTTAATTTCTTGACGACTGTACATATTTGTGACGTGGCAGATGTCAAAATATTCAGGGTAGTTGACATTGCAAAAAATAGGTATACTTCCAAAATACTGAACTGTCCTATGCATGACATTGACAGTGGGGCGCCACCGTCAATACCGGAACGCTGATTCCGATTTTTGCCATGTTGGAAACCATAAAGTTGAACGATGGTAGCGCCCCCCTGTCATTGAGTTTGGTGGGACAGTTCAGCGTGGGTCATCTATACCTTATGAATCATAGCCTCAAAGTCGAATACGCTTCGTGTGAAACACTTGTAAATTGAGTAGTAAACTAATAATTATTATGATCATCATTTTGTTACAATAACAGGTATAATAAAAACTATTATAAACAATTAATAACGTACTCACAAGAGTAGATTAGATCTAGTACAGTGACCTTGAGATCGTCCTTATTGCTAATCGAAATACGAGCTACTTTTTTATTGCGAATGTTATACTTGTAGTGACGTTTGAATTTAGTTATAAAAATATGTAATTTTATTTTTAGCTTTTTAAAAGCGCTATAAAACATTTTATTGATTAATTTATTGTTTTGGGACAACAATATGGGCTAATGCTGAGAAGCTGCGTAATAAACTCAGTCACTATTGTCAGCCTCTTTTTCAAGGGTTAAATACCGTATTGATGAGAGCTAGGCAGTTACAGCATTTTTGTCTTCTGTAATATTATAAACAGGGAAGATTCGATTGTTTGTTTGTATTGAATAGGCTCCAAAACTACTGGACCAATTTGTAACATTAGAATCCTACAATATTTCTGATGAACATAGGCGGTACGAAGTTCGCCTGGTCAGCTATTTATAATCTTCTAATGATACAAAAAAATCTTTATCCACACGGGTGAAGCCACGACCCCTAACTAGTTATTATATCACAAAGGAAGCGTCACTTCTCGTGAAACTAGACTTTAAGCCGAGTAGATAAAGTCTTAGTTTGGTTACCAACTGCGCATGCCTGTTCAAGTTGGTCTACGTTCGCGAACATTCTACGAAAGGCTTTATTATCTACCTGATAAGGGTTGTATTTCGAATCTACTCAAGAACAGATTTGAGACTGAGTTTGGTCCAAATATGAAATAGAACAATCACAATCTTGAGTTTAAGACTTGAGTCGAGTTTTGAACGTTGTTAGTACATTATCACAGGCTTAATGATCATTAATTAAACTGGTTTTTGCTTGTAGCTTCACTCCCGTTTTAATTATGTCATTAATAATTAGCAATCACGTATTTGCACAACTCCATATTATTACAAAAGCTTATAATTTTTTTTTTATTGCTTACACAAGAGAAAAGGGGTTAAGCATAAAACTTCCATCCTCTATTTCACCCTTTTTATCGATAAATCAATGGCTTGCCCTTCTCCTGAAGTTCCATCCATCTCTATTTTGGTGGCTTACTTATTTTTTTAATTAAAATTAAGTTTTTTTTTGTGAAAATAAGTTTTTCTTGTTTTTTTTTCTATTCCAATACAATTANCACATTTTATCAAAAATGATTCAGCTGCATAAACATGAAGACGTAACATACAGACAATTTTACTTTCGCATAATATGAGTATGGATATCCAACAGCTTTGCTCGCAACTCCGTAAGCGTGGAAATCGTTATCCAGTCAACCACGACCCCTAATTTATATGGGACTGAGTTCAGTAGAGAGTTCAAGCTGCAGTTTACTATCGACACAATCATCGACAGTAAAAAAACATATTATTTAAGTGAGTAATGGGTTTTATTTATAGAGTCAGCAATATTATTTTTTTAGTGAGCAGAAAAATGAAAACTATCAGCAAAAATAATTGGTCAGAAAACCATATTAAATCGATCAGCATCCTGCAAATCCCGCAAAACTGGATAGCCGTGGGAATGGGAACGAGCCCTATGTAAAAACATAATATCTCAAAAAACTACTTCTAAACTCCACTAGTGTTAAATATGACCCTGACACGTTTTTCTGCTAACTAGCCATAAGCCAACGCGCATCGGACGGACGTTTTTTGTTGCATAATCGCCTTTGTTACAACGGCACAAGGTACTACTGTTTATTAGTGAAGATTCACATTTCTAAAATACTCATTAATTCAATTTATCGATAACCAAGCCAAACTTATAAAAAAAAATATTTGTGTGAATTTTTATATTGATTTATTAAAATTGGTCGTCTCAATAATAAATAATAAGTCAGTTTTTATGGTTTTTTATTTCGTTTTAAAATAAAAATAATATATTAAATACGTAATGACGACCTTTTTTTTACTTTTAATTAACTTCCAATAATAGAAACATTGGTTTTGGAATCATATTTTATATTAGAAAATAATATGTTTGGAGTTTTGGATTCTTATGGACGTCATGATGTCACTTTAAAGTTTTTTTATTTTATTTCGACCTACCTCTTTCACACGAGTGGAATGCATTAAACCTTCCTCTTAATCACTAATTATTGCTGAATTACAATCCATTACGTAGTTTAACAAATCTAAATGCAGACGAAGCGACATTACCAAAAAAATGCATCTAACAAAAAAGCTTTTAATTTTTTTTATGTAATATAAACTAAAACAAAAGTAACATTCAATTTTAAATATTATTTGTAAAAGTTTATGACTGGATAATAATAATAATAATAATAATAAATACACTTTATTGCACACCAAAGATAAGAACAGAAAGTAAAGGAACACACAAGGTACAACTAGGCGGTCTTATCGCTATGAAGCGATCTCTTCCAGACAACCTATGGTGAGGACAGTTACTTAAAAAAAAAATGAAATAATTCGTGAAATGTCGTACTAATATTATTATTACAAAAAACAAATCATCGATATCGATATCCTAGCTACGCGCCCCCATCACTAGCGCTGCTGATATGGCGGAGCAGGGTTGAGTTTGTTCATAATAATTACGTTCTTCAATTTTAATTCCTGATCAATCGTTCTAATTCATTCGAAACAACTTTGATTTGAATTGAATTATTAATGAAATTATTCCATAAACATACTAAGAAATCGATTTAGGCAAATCGTATCGAAAAGTAAGTAGGTATTGATTATGTAAAAACGTAAAGAAAAAACACTCATTGTGTACACAGGTTTACGAGTCGGAAACAATGGATGACGTCACCAACTAAAGTAGAATCATAACATTTAGGATTCAATTTTAATGTTTTCATTTAAGCTCATTGTCATCTCGATTATTATCTCATTTTAATCATTTATTTTAATTTCTAATTTGTTCTTTTGTTAATTATATTCATTTAAAAGTCACTCAATTGATGATGATAATGATAAGTGTCAAGTTCCGTCGACGAATTTAAAAACACAGATAATAAAAACCAAAAGAGGTACCTTGAAAGTAGGTTTCTCCATTTCCGAAAAAATCCAAAAAGGCGCTGGCAATCCAGTAAGTAATTCACTTTAACTTAACAGAAACACCGAAACTGTACATAACAAATGTATTTAACATCATGTCCACACAACGAAGACAAATGCAATTTTATTTTTAACATTCAGCGTAGACATTGCACTATATTTAACACACTGACTGTTCTCAAGTTATTTTTTTCACGTGCTAATTCTGGCACAACACAAGAAACACGCCGGAAAAAAAAACAATCACTTTTTAAATTTCACTAGGATACGGAACTCCGAAATCGATTATAATTAAAATAATTATCTCCACAGATAGCGTAACAATAATAATAAGCACTTAAATTAGTTGATTGTTATTTTTTAACTGCACCGCGTCGCGTGTAAATCGGAAATTGGTAATGTGGATTTTTATGGTGGAATTATGGTTGACAATAGACACAATATGGCGTACGATGACAAAAATAAGACCCGCGACGATACACACGCCCGTCTCAGCCCGCGGCCGACGGTTGTCTGTGTGAATGTAGTTAACATTACTCTGTATTTTCTTGCACGCACACATAGACCGTTAGGGTTGCCTGCCGATTTTACGGGTTGTTTAATAATAATAATTAAGTTCTTTTGTTGTTGTTAATAATAATANTTATAATAAAATTGATAAAGTGCTATAATCTATAAAACCTTTTTAGTATTATAGTTATTATGATGCTGTAAGTGTTATTATCCTATTTTATGCCAAACATGCTAACTGTAGAGTCTAGAGTGCTTATACTCGTAGTAGATTTATTAAGTCGTTTAGTTTTGTACAAATAAGTATGTATGTATTATTATTTATACATTAAATATACACTGAGACAAAAATAATAGTTGTAGGTAAATAGCATTAGTCCTATAAAACAATAAAAGTTATACTTTCTCCTTTGTTTCTGTAACAAAGGGTTTTATGAAAGCATTGTGTGGTATCCAGTTATGGTGTTTTTTAAAGAAATAGGCATAATTTTGCTTTCTTATGTTGGCATTATTGTATTTTGAACCTTTACACCAAGTAGTACAGGAACAATACTATTATGTTCAATTCTACATTATTAATATTATCACCTCAGATGATTGTTGTAGAGGAAAGCTACTTATTATGTAGGTAGGTAGGGCATAATAATTTTATAATTAAAATCAAAATTAATTGTTATTGAACAAATCTATTTGTCAACTTCATATCCCACAAACATTGCACATTGATTCAATGCGAAATATTACATTTAACTCTCAAATCATCAAAAATTAATAATAAAAATATTAATAAATATCAGTATCGATCGGTGGCGGCCCTGACACCGTGCCACGCACACAAAGCCGCTCACTCACACATAAACAAAGCGTGCGTACAGCATTTTTTACGTAAACACAGGCAGTGTCATAGTACACCCACAGTTTGGGGTATGAAACTAGTTTTTCTCATTTAAAAATTATTATTATTATAATTGTCAAGTAATTGATTTGCTAATTTGCTAATCTGTGCGATTGTGTAACAAGCGATTTGGCAGTCGTTGGGCGTCAATTTAAAGTACACTTAATAGAATAATGTTTTTTGTTATAACAAGAATAATTTGTGGTTCAAAATACCTTAATATGGATCAGTCACTTAAAAAATATCTTACAGTTTATTATTCTAAACGAGTTTAAATAGTGTTGAGTTACATTAAAATCAAAAAGACTCAAAAAACTTATTTTATTTTTGCAAGTAAGCCTTTAAAAAGCACTTTTACATGTCCCAGTATTAACCCTACCACTGCTTCGAGACAATAAATGAAAAAAATAAGGTATCGTGTTATTTTTTGTAGACTTGAATAAAAAGTAACACACTTGTTAAACACTGTTTTAAAATGATATTTCCATACTAAACGTCAGTACAAAACACTGTCCAAGCGTGTAAGTTTTATTACTAAGGTAGTCATCATTATCATTATTTCAGCCACAGGACGTCCACTGCTGAACATAGGCCTCCCTCAATGACTTCGACATCGCCCGGTTGATAGCGACCTGCACCCAGCGCCTTCCTGCTATCTTTCAAGAGTCATCACGAAGGGGATAAGGGTAAGAGACTACAATAATAAGCTTTGATACCACACTCGATAGGTTTTGAGAAAAAAAAAAATTTTTTTGAAGACTTATGGCGCCTAAAATCCGTCATTTTGTTTTTTTTTTTTTTTAATTTTAATATAGCCAGTGTCACTCTCACTCACGCTAAAATCGGTCAAGCCGTTTAGGCTNTAATAATAAAATGGTTAAAGTGCTATAATCTAAAAAACCTTTTTAGTATTATAGTTATTATGATGCTGTAACTGTTATTATCTTATTTTACATACTATTGCTAAAGAGTCTAGACATTATGTTTTTTAGTTTTGTGCAAATAAGCCTAACCCATATTATGGGTTTTATTTATACATTAAAATTTATACACTGAGACAAAAAATAATCGTTGTAGGTAAATAACATTAGTCCTGTTCCTGTTAACAACAAAATAGACTTTCTCATTTGTCACTTCTTTAACAAAAGTTGTTATAAATCCATTGTTATCTTCGGATGAGGTAATTTTTAAGAAATAGGTGCAGTTTTACTTTATAATGTTGGCATTGTGGCGTTTTGGACCTTTACACCAGGTAGAATACAGTGATAACAATATTATTATTATCTATGTTAAATAATTTTGCATTATAAATAATATCAGATAAAATCATCAATAGCAGTAGGTACTAAGTACCTACATGCATAATAATTTTAAAATTAAAACCAAAATTACTTGTTATTGAACAAATCTATTTGTCAACTTCATATAGCACAAACATTACACATTAATTTCAACGCGAAATACTACATTTAACTAAGTCTAAAAAATTTACAATAAAAATATTAATAAATATCAGTATCGATCGGTGGCGGCCCTGACTCCGTGCCACGCACACAAAGCCGCTCACTCACACATAAACAAAGCGTGCGTACAGCATTTTTTACGTAAACACAGGCAGTGTCATAGTACACCCACAGTTTGGGGTATGAAACCAGTTTTTCTCATTTAAAAATTATTATTATTATAATTGTCAAGTAATTGCTTTGCTAATTTGTTAATCTGTGCGATTGTGTAACAAGCGATTTGGCAGTCGTTGTGGTGTCAATTTAAAGTACACTTAATTGCAATAGAATAATGTTTTTTGTTATAACAAGAATAATTTGTGGTTCAAAATACCTTAATATGGATCAGTCACTTCAAAAATATCTTACAGTTTATTATTCTAATAGTGTTGAGTTACATTAAAATCAAAAAGACTCACAAAACTTATTTTATTTTTGCAAGTAAGCCTTTAAAAAGCACTTTTACAAGTCCCAGTACCACTGCTTGGGGACAATAAATGAAAAAAACAAGGTATCGTGTTATTTTTTGTATCTTGAATAAAAAGTAACACACTTGTTGAACACTATTATTAAAAATGATATTTCCATACTGACCATCAGTACAAAACACTGTCCAACGAGCGTGTAAGTTTTATTACTAAGGTAGTCATCATCATCACTATTTCAGCTACAGGACGTCCACTGCTGAACATAGGCCTCCTGCATCCAGCGCCTTCCTGCTATCTTTCAAGAGTCATCACGAAGGGGATAAGGGTAAGAGACTACAATAATAGGCTTTGATACCACACTCGATAGGTTTTGAGAAAAAAAATTTTTTTTGAAGACTTATGGCGCCTAATATCCGTCATTTTGTTTTTTTTTTTTTCAATTTTAATATAGCCAGTGTCACTCTCACTCACGATTAAGACAAATCTAACGACACCTCTCACGCTAAAATCTTAGGCTGTAGGCCGTGCCAAAGAAATATACATACATACATACACTCGAAAAACATAACCCTCCTTCTGGCGCAGTCGGGTAAAAACATAACCCTCTTNATCATAATGTGGGGAAACAGCCCTGGAGCAAAGCAAGTATTTATTGCTCAAAAACGCTGTGTTAGAGCTTTATGTGGGATTGCCCCTGACGTATCATGCAGACCACACTTTTTGACTATGGGAATATTAACACTAGCCTCCATCTATATTTTGGAGATAGCAAAATTCGTAAAGTCAAATCATGAACTATTTACTGAAGCAAAGGACTATTATAGGACTAATACAAGAAATCCACATAGACTCATATTAGACATAACACCTAGAACTGCATGTTTTCAAAGAAATTGTTACGCAATGTGCATTAAGATTTTTAATAAAATACCTGCTTGCATGAAAGAGCTTCCTTACACTAGTTTTAAGTCGACATTACGAAAATGGCTCATACAAAATGTCTTCTATACAATTGACGAATTCCTAAATAATCAATCTCTAATGTAATGTAATTTAATAGTGTGACATTTTATTAATTTTGTAATGAATATTTGTATGCTAAAATTTAGCACAGACAGACAGACAGACAGACAGACAGACAGAGTTACTTTCGCATTTATAATATTAGTTGGGATAAATATATTCTATTCTATTCTATTCAATGCTTGCTTAAGTGAAGCAGCAAATCAAACGCACAGCGTTGAATAGAGATCTTTGATTGGTTCGTGTGTCACCCTGTGCGTCCATGCGCACTGTGAGACCTCATAGTAATGTTCGTGAATACGTAAGAGCTAGTGAACGCTAGACCTACGTCATTTTATAAAAGCTGAAAGTTTGTATAGGATACTAGCGGCCGCCCGCGACTTCGTACGCGTGAATCCCGTTTTTCACGCTAATTCCCGTTCCCGTGGGAATTTCGAGAATTCCTTTCTTAGTGCACCTCTACGGTACCTAAGCTACGTTCCTTCCAAATTTCAAGTGCCTACGTTTAGCCGTTTAGGCTGTGCGTTGATCTGTCAGTCAGTCAGTCAGTTTCTCCTTTTATATGTATATTTAGATAATGTTGGTGAATTATTATACATAAAAATAAGCTTTTATGGTATAACATAAGTCTAACTTTTACGGCAGTGTTGGCAAAAAGTTAATCTGATTAATGATTAAAAATTAATGATTAAAATCATAATCAAAATTTTTTGATTATGATTAATTAATCATTAATCAAAAATTTTGATTAAGATTAATTAATCATAATCATTAATCGTTAATTTGATTATTTGATTAACTATCCACTATTTTCATAAGAAAAGGGTTGCGGGTGTATGAAAAGGTACCCGCGACTTATAAAATGTCTAGCAAAGGGGGGATCTGGAGTTGTACTGTCGTTTTCCCAAAAACTGCGTCAACTTTCACTNCCCTGGGGAAATTGGAATAAACGATCTTGATACTATTTAATTTTTTTACTTTTATTACTTTAATATTAATGAACATGAAGTACGAATATACATTTTAGGTAGGTATGTGTATGAAGAATGTTGTTAGACATCAGATATTTAACATAGGTAAATGTTTTGGAAATTGAATAAATCGTATATTACTTTAAGTAACTAATTTTATTATGCATCATAC